TCCACCAGCACTGCCTGCCATCACCCCACGCACCATCACCATGCTGCCACTTGCCCCCACACCCCACCCTGCAAACCCCACCAGGACATTGCCACCCCTCTCCCCATCCTCTATCCTTGCAGCCCAGCCCCCCACCATGGTGTCCCCATCCCACAGACCCGTGACCCTACCGGTGTAGGCGATGGGGTGGGTGCGGTTGCCACCACGGAAGAGCTTGAGCGTGGGGTAGGAGGTGATGCTGAACTCGTTGGCCAGGGCCACCTGCGCCGTGGCATCCACCTTTGCCATCCACGCCGGGCTGGACTCATTCCGGGCGGGCCTCATTCCTCAGCGTGGTGGCTGCCTGGGCAAAGGCAGGGGCCAGGCGCTGGCAGTGCCCGCACCAGGGCGCGTCTGTGGGCAGGGGCAGTGTCGGACTTGTAATAGCTGCCTGAGCCTGGTGGGCTCCAGCGCCTGCCCCTGCCTGTGTGCCCCATGCCATGGTCTATGTCCCACACCCCCACCACATGTCTCTGCCCCATGTCACCACCACACGTCCCCCACCCCAGGCCTCTGCCACATGTCCTCATCCCAAGCCCATGTCCCTGTCCCATGCCCAACGTCCCTGCCCTGTCACGTGCCATGCCCTGTTCCCGGGCAGTGCCTACCCCTGCCCACTTCCCACCCAATCCTGTACCCATGACCCTGCCCACGTTTGGGAACACTTACAGAACTCCACCAGCAGCAGCTGGTGCTCAGTCAGGGCACGGGCAAAGTTGTGCTGATGAAGCACCAGGACGCCGTCCTCCTCCTTGAGCTCATCCGAGACCACCTCATCCTCCTTCTCTTCCTTCTCCACCACCACCTCCCCACCTTCCTCCTCCTCACCCCCCAACACTGGGCCCAGCCAGGCCAGCACCAGTGCCAGCACCAGCAGCCAAACCAGCCGGGCCCCACAGCCCCGCATGGTGCCACCGTCCTCCCCAAAACCAGTGCCCGGACAGAGAGGACCCAGATAAGGGCCACCAGGCGGGAGGTGCCCGTCCCCTGGGGCTCGTGGCCCTCGGCTACTGGCTGCTCAGCCCCGCCG